AACTTAATGCCATGTAAGTAAATACAGATTGCGGCCATAGTAAGGGTTTAATGAAAGGCACTGGCAACTACTTCTTCATCACATCCATGTAGCTGACAGGCAATCATGATTATTCCAAATTAATTTTGATCCTGGGCTAACTAGTTTCATAGCAGCCTCAACAACAAATGATCGTACTTGCTTTGCCTGTATTAAGGACGTACACACAGAGGACTTTAGTCCATCTCTCTTTCTCATTCTTTCCCTCTCTCTCTCTTGGCTAGTTACATTCACTCCCACCTGCCCTGATCATCAGTGTCACTTTGGAGGAGACTAAGCACCCCTCCTCACCATCACCAGTGGAAGGCCTTCCCCGCAAACAGGACGGCTACAAAGAGAACCAGTCACAAGACGCTGAAAAAACATCCATATTCTTCAAGTAAATAATGAATGCATACCATTCATTTCAATCCACCAGCTTTAAGTTCTTAAGACCACCTTAAGGCAGTGCATTTATCTATACATGGTTCTGATTGTTTTAGTCCAGGCTTGCCCTCTCTTTTTTAGGGTTGCTCTTCTTTTGGCGGGGGGGGTGGGGTTGGATCCCAATTTGTTCTCTACAATTCCAATATTTTAGATCTGGTACTGTGGTATACATATCAGCACCCTTTCTCTGTCTTCATGAATTAAGATTGGGTTTGAAATTTCAACAAATCCTGCACATTTTAGACATGTGGGGAAGGCCTTTCAGTGATGAGGGCAAGAATGGGGTTGCCATCTTGGTAGCCATGGCTGCTTCAAAATGATGATGTCCAGCAGACCAGTGAGGTAAGTGTGAAAATAATTATCAGCATGAAAGGTGGAAAGAGGTCTAAAGACAGAGTACGGGAAAGGGGGTAGGAGGAGGAAGGTAAAGCAAATCTGGATAAAGGTAAAGAAAATAAATGAGGGGAAGGGCATGACAGAGGAAAGTGGCACCTAAGATCTTCTTAGGGAGGGGAAAGAAGATGCATGGGGTGAAGAAGAGATGGAAGGTGTCCTGTCTTTTTGGAAATGAAGCTGGGATAAAGGTAAACATGAACATATCCAGTAGCTGAATCCCAAGCCTATCCTTGATGAATTCATTTTAGCATAATTTGAAAATGGTCATTATCATTATATTTATTTAACAATCGTAGAAATATGCAAAAGTTAAAGGTATAATTAAAATATAATTAAATCAGTAAAGCATCAACATCATAAAATATCATTAAAAAACCACTGAAACCAATGTAAAAAAACAGAATTTGTCCAACACAAATTCACAGGCCCAGTTCATTCCTGGGGGAATAAAAAGGGTTTTGCCTGTCACTGGAAATATTAAAGGGGGGATGCCAACCTAGCATTCATGGGAAAGGAATTCCAGAGCCTTGGGGCAGCCTCTCCCACATTCCCACCAAGTGTGCCTATGAGGGTGGTGGGAACAAGAGAAGGTCTTCCACAGAAGATACGGTCCCTCAAAGAGCTTGGACCTGAACCCTATAGGGCTATGTTGTGCCATATGCCGTTCATTCACTTGGAAGACTCACTTCCAGTCTTTTTCATATGGCAATCAAAATTGTATACATTGTCTCTGAAAGCAGCTACTCCTTACTGTCTTGCATCTTTTGTTTTTCCTATGATAAGTGAAAGGAAGGGGGGGGGGGGGGGAGAGAGAGAGAGAGAGAGAGAGAGAGAGAGAGAGAGAGAGAGAGAGCATGTGTGCACATTCATGTGTGTTCTAATTACTTTGACTTCTGGGAAGTCATAGGGAAATGGTCTTCCTCTCTATGGTGATTTATATTATATTCATACCTAAATCTTAATACTTCTAAATCTCCATTGATTCCATAAATTAGCATATACATATTTGTATCCCTCTTTTGTCTTCTTTTTTGTGAGTCATACCTAGCCAGCCTATGCTTAACAAATGATTGTATACATAAGTAAAACATAAATAAATTACACCAAAATTATAGTTTCTATGCAAATAACCTGTATAATCTGAGAAATTATAGACTTATTTAAAGGCAGCACAGTACAATAGGGAAATGTTCATGTCTTTAGAGCTGAGAAGGGTACACGTGGTTATTTCTGTCCATTATTTGATCCGATTATTTTATTTGGTTACAGAAAAAGAACACATTAAAATATCACACAAAAGGAAAAATGGCATGCTATGCTATAAACATATTTGAAATGCTGATAAGTGGAATGAAGCAATTATTAACTGGATATTTTTATACTTTTGGGGTATATTTCTTTGGAATTGTTTGAGCTATAATTGACAAGGCCCCAGTGCCCATTATCTCTGCTGGCACTCAAGGCATTTTGCTCTCTGACACTGTCATTCCACCCCAATTCCATTCTGTGTACAAAGGATGCTTGGGCTGGTATTGAATCTATCTTCAAAACCGATGATCTGCCTTCAAAACTAGTAAAGTGTCCTCCACTAAATGCTGTAGAGTAACACAGGGAGCATAGACATGGCCCGCATCTATCTTTACCAACACCTTGTTCTTGCCCACAAGCATCTGCTACTTGAGCTGACTACCTTACAATGCCCAAGGGCTGCTATGAAGGCACTATGCCAACATGGAGATATTGGATCATACTATGCGGAAATCAAGACCAAGGTCACAGTCCAACATACATGATTATATGGCAGTAATATAAGCTGGGTTGAGATGGTTTTCATCTCATATTTATTGCTGATGGGGAAAGGGAATGTTGCAGAGGCAAAATGTAGCTGGGAATGTTCATGGCAATGGACTATCTGGATGTGTGGTTTCAGCTCCTAGCTACTACACTGTATCACTGTATCTCACTCATGATCGTACATGGGAAAGGGGTTGCAGTATACACACAGTTATTGCTATTTCAGAGCCATGAGTGTTTTTAGACATGATAGGGAAACATGCCTTCAGTTTTAACAAAGAAAACAACGTGGCTCAGCTAACAAAGGCATACGAAACATACGCATTCTCCTATGAATAAGTTAATGCAGAGTTCACTTGTGACCAATCCACACAACCACCTTGGTGCTTGAAAGCATAGCATACATTGACTCATCTTTGTGGTGAGGTTTTCATGACATGTGTTGCTCGGAAAACTGAACAATCATGTTTGTCTGAAGACAACGTACCAAGTAGACCTTTTGCCTTACCCTTGCTAATCAATATCTAGGGCAGTTTGTAGTGGCAAGCAAAAGCTCTATGGACGGGGAGCCAATTAGTACAAGCATAGGAAGTATATTTCTAACTCCAACCACACTGAGAGCAGTGTTTGAATGAGCCCTAAGGGATGCATTCACCCTGAAAATGGCATTCCTTGTTCTCCCTCCCTCCCCCCCCCCCGCTTTCTCACACACACATTCCTACACTCCAGAAGAAATATCTTTGAAGTTGCTTTAAACTACTTGCTTCAAGGCTACATTTAAAGGTTAAACATTTGTCATATTTTTCTGTTTATTTTTCAGTCTTTTATGAAAGCTTCGGATATTTAAACATGTGAGTTCCCCCATTTGACCAGCTGCCCCTGAAACTAGCCTGTAATGGTTCACTTCCCACCATTTCCACAGTTAGAATAACTTTCTACACACACTGCACAGGATCAGGGCACACAATGCTGTGGAGACGGAGCATTTTGATTTGTTCCTCGTGGCAGCTGATGCACATGGCCAGCAACATGGAATGGCCTGTTTTCTTCACAGTGTTTCAAGACAGAGAGAAGCCACACCATCTACTTGGTGATCTGGGGCACAAATAGCTCATCATGGGGAGGCAGCCCCATGGGAAACAATTTAATGCATTCTCCATGTTAAATCTGGTTAGATGACTAAGTACTCAAGAACTTACAGAAATATTGCTTCACGTTGCCTAACAGGATAATAATTGTTTTAAGTGCACATTTTTCAAACCGATCAAAAGAGAAAACTAGAAACCATACAAAGGCAACTAGAGCTAAGCTTTTTTCCTCCAAATAAATTACAGAAGGTTCTGTGAGGGATCTGCTGGGAGATGGCTTAAATAAACAAGCAACAGTAAAATGCAATGGCTTAAATAAAAAAGCCAAAAAAAAAAAAGCTATGGCTTAAATAAACTATGGATTGGCATTGTATATGAACCAGTTCTATACCTGTGAGCCAGTTCACATGACACAGTTGGTTCACCTTAGATTATTAAATCCACAATGAGTTGCAGTGCATGTTGAATGCATACTGGGAGTTGCACCATGTCATACAAACCTGCCCCTGTTAAACAACCCTCAAAGAACCCTACTATTATTGAAGGTTATGCGAACATTGTTTAAGCCTTAATAACCCATGATGGTGCGGTTCACGTGACTTGGCACAACCCCTGACTGCCCAATCGGGGATTGCTTATTCGGAATGGCAGCCACATACAGTAACACAGCTTATTGTGGGGTAATAATCCATGGTGTCCTGGCCATGTAATGCAGACCAAATATGTATCTCCCTCCCTCCCTATTTGTCTTTCTGTCTCCCAGACAGAAAGACAAAGTCACAGACATATCGACAGATGCATACACACTTTACAGCTATTATACATATCACTTGCAGAAAACATTCAAACAACCAGTATTAGAAAATCCAGGTAGTTCATTTTTTTCTCCTCTAGTCATCATGATTTACCATTTCTGTTTGACTCATGCCCCCTTGGAGTACAGAGGTCTTTGTTTCTGTTCTTCTCTATAATATCAGTTTCTTGATTCATCAGAATATCTTCAAAATAAGCATGGAAAGGGAGGAGGAGGAGGGGGAGGAGGAAACAAACCATATACTTTATGAATAAAGCAGATCCGCTAGAGAACATGCCTCTCCACAGAAGCTTTAGACTACAAGCCACAAAGCAAAATGGTATTTTCCTGCACACTGTATGTGTCTTTCCAAGTCACATTAGTGATAATACCTTGTAACAAAGGAAAAAGGTCAGAAGAAGGTATCACCTTTGCCATTTAATAGTATCACAGCATGTACTCACCTAGCTTGCTGGCACACGTTGCAGAGCCAAGCTTTCTCCTTCCTCTGATAGGAGCTGCAGTTCTTGCAGATGTTGTATTTGCAATCTTGGCACTGTCGCTTGGTATTGATGAGAAAAGTAAAAGGAGAGCAGCAGCGCATGCAGCATCGCTCATTAAAACTCTGCTGCTTTGAAAGGATACTGCACTTGTTACCTTCTTCATCGAGCTTCTGCTTCATTTCACTGGAGCATCGGAAGAAAAAAACAAAGGGAAGACAGAATCAAAATACTATTGCACCATAGAAGGAAAGGGGCACTCAATTCTCTGTTTGCAGGGCCAATACCCTAAATAGCTGATATTATATTGACCATGCCCCAGGGGCTAATTTCAGGGTTCAGCTAGGCCTGAACCAATCCATCACTTTTCCCAGCATTGCCTCCTCCAATTGGGAAATGAGAATATAAAAACAGTATCACTCTTCACCCCTCATGTTTTCTCCTTGCGTGTGCGTACATGTGTATTGTTTGTTCTCACTGGTTTAGGGAGCTTCAACCACACCCATCCAGCTTGAAGTTCTCTTACTTTCTCTCATAGTATTGTTTTCCCCACTTCCATATGCTTCCATATAACCCACCTGTAAAACTAGAGATAGATATTGGAGATCTGGCATCCTTTCATATTCATATTTACTGCAGTAGTTTTGAAAAATTTAAAACGTACGCTTGCTTACAAACATATTTTCTGGGAAATGTTACAGAGTTTTTGCCAAGTGTAGCTTTTCTGTCCATTTAAAGTTATTTTATTGTAAATTTTGATGATACTGTAGCAGTAAGGTCCAACGTGGCAAACAATACACTGATTATTTTTAAAAGTTTCAAAGAGGTACACTCCTGCCAACCCATGATTGTAATACATGCCAACTTAGATTTACAAATAGTTAATTTCTTATGCTGCAAGCTGCAAAATCAGATTCAGGTACTGCAGTCTTCCCCTAGCCCAGGAAATGTGCCTTCATTATGTTGAATCAGGTCAAAGGCTTACCCAAGAAATCAACAAAGCATTATTCTTGCCCCTGATTGCCAGGATATTTTGCTGTGAAACATGTGATAAGGAACTGATATGTGCCTTTACTTCCAGTTTTTCAATCATTTGGTCTTTCACTGTTTCATTCCACAAGCTGGTTACTCTTCAACACGTATTGCTTTATGCAATTAATGTACTTGAGCGAACAAAGCAAAGGTTAAAACCCGGTTCGGATGTTTTGAACCTGAATCAAGGAAGCATGTGAGGGAAGGGTCAGATGTCCTCACATTTGTGGCCTCAGCTTATGCACAGTGACTCTATGAAGAGGAATGCTTCCTATGCTCGTGAAAGAACATTGAGGAGGGCCTCCACATAAGACAGAATGCTGGCTTGCATGGAGAGCTTCTGTGGATATAGAAGACTCTTCCCTTTAGGCAAACACCCTCTGCACGTTGAGGGTGACAAATGCAAGGACAGAAGGGAACAAGACTAACCATCTCTTCTCTTGCTTGCTCTTCTCCAGGTATTCTGGACCTTTGTTCAGGTCCAGAATACCTGGAGAAGGTAAAGCTATTGGTTAAGCTATTGTCTCAATCGCCAACTGGGATACCCACTGGAGGACTGAGAGGGAAGGTAGGGAAAAGAAGCCGTGAGGTGTCGCATCACCTGTTCTTCTGCAAACAACCCACACCAAAGCATGGCTTCTTTGCAGGGTGGCCTAGTATGATGTGCAAACACAGACACTGCATTTCTTGGGTTAGCACAAAAACACACTTGAAGAGCTAAGTGTGCCACCGTTGCATCCAGTCGCAGTCTCATCTTCAAGCTAAGACTCCAAAGTCTTTATTTTCAAAGCTCCCAGAGCATTATGAACTGGCATCTGTTGTAACTGCTCCTGCAGGGAACACTTGATTTCTGTTCATTAACAAAGGCTTCTGACAACAGAAGACAAAAGAAACACCGCTTATCCCTTTGAATTTCCTATGAAATGTCATAGAGCCAATGTAATGAAGGAAACATTGTAACCGCTCACTGCTACGCAAGTTATATGATTGATGGACATTGCAAATGTCAGCATACCACACTTGCACAGACTTCTTAAAATTCACAACAAGAAAAGCAGTTGCTTGGAGAAATTAAACTTAGCAGGCACCAAAATTGGAAGTGAGCATATATGCTCAGATCAGTCCCACATTTACCCAAGCAGTCTCTCCTCATAATAACTGATTTCCTCTATAGGTGATGCAAATAAGCTGTCACAAGGGAATTCAATATATTCATATTGATTAAATTGCTCTCCTTTTCCTACAGAAATTGTAAAATTGTTAAAAGATAGTGTACTTAAGCCCATTTTCATGGGGTTTTTCAATGGTTTACATTAGCTTTCACAGTTAATGAACATTAGTAAGCTCCTCTGATGCAAATTTGCCATATCCTTGTACAAAACCATTTTTAATGACTGATCCACGTACTGGTGCAAATGTACTTGCGTACATCACGAGCACAAAATGGCCAGCACAATGTACTACAGCATCCATGTATACTACATATATTGTATTATATAATGTATATCATATATATTATAGTGTGTGTGCGTGTGTGTGTGCGTATAACATAGCTGTAATATATATAAATCCGGCCATATCAGACAAATGTGTGGCAGCTGTGCTCTGCACCAACTAGAGCTATTTAGTCATCTTTAGGTGCAGCCCCACATCTAACATGCTGCAGTAATCCAGCTAGAAAATTATCAGAGCATGGATCACAGATGATCACAGCACAGAAGTGGCTGTCATCAAATCTGATAAAAACCACTCTGTATCACTAAAGACCCAAGTCAAGGCAGGATCTAGGAATTCCCCAAGCTGCAAATTTATCTCTCAGGGAAGTGCCACCCTGACACTGGACGCACTGGACTCAATATCCCAGGCCCAAGACCCACAGTGCCTCCATCTTACCGGACCTTAGTTTTACTTTACTGGTTCTCATCTAGCTCATTACTGCATCCAGGCCTTGGTTCTGCAGCTTCACAGTCTCACCTGACTCAAATATGTCCTTTCTGTTGACATAAGTCAGCTGGAAAAAAAAAGTTAGATATGTTGCATTTGTCTGAAGCAAATAAATGCTTTTAATATTTTGGGAATCTATGGATATGAGACACTGCATGTATCTCAGTAGATGTGGAAAAAATCATACTCACAGATTGCTCTTGAAGGAAAACATTTCTGCATAAATGAAAGGGACCTAAGAGAACAGTTAAATCACTGTTTGAAATCTTTACCCGAACAGGCAATATAATAAATAGATATATATTTTTAATTACTTTCTGTTTAATAATTTATACTAGATGTGCTAATGGGATTTGCTAATACATCACTTTTGGCAATAAATATGTTTCTCTATTCTCCTGTTACCATGAAGCTGATGCCTTAGCTTTCAATTTGCTTTGTAAAAGTGGGGGAAAAACTAGTCTTAAACTGTTATGATACCAGAGCCTTAGCCACAAGTCATTCAGAACTCCAAATAATAAGCAATGCCTATTATATACAAAGGGAATTTTAAAATATTAAAAAACAGTAATCAGATAAAAGGAAGAATTGTTTTGCATATGTTTGCAAAACCTATTTATTTAAAATTATTTCTAAGTCACCATTAAGGATAGAATCCTTGACTTGTTTCTATAACACTGTGTAAGTGTGCACAGTTAACTCTTTCTAAATTTAAAAGAAAACATTGTTAATTAATATAACACAACCTTCCCCAACTTGGTGTCCTCCATATGTTTTAGACTGCATCTCTCAGTGCCCCTGACTATCAGACATGTGAACTGGGGCTGATGAAAGTTCTAGTCCAAAATTACTGGATGACAGTAGCTAATCTGATGTTAAAGCAGAAGTGAAGAATCAAAAATCAAGTTGTGATATTTAGCTCATCCTAATAAATACACAGAAACACAGCGAGTCAGAAGGGGTATCTCGGGCCATCTAGTCTGACCCTCAGTTCAAGCCGGATCTGCTCACGACATGCCCACCATGTGCATGTCTAGCCTATCTTTGAACATACTCACTGATGGGGCCTCAACCAGCTCCCGTGAAAGCCCATTCTATACCCTTGGGGTCCTAACTGTCAGGAAATACTTCCTGGCATCTAAATTGAACCTGGGTCTAAACTGAACCTGGGATTATGATGCTGTTCATTATGATGCTGTTCATATTTTTATTTATTTTAAGGGACTAATAGAACTTACATGTTTTGACAAAAATACTGAGGACCTAAGAAAGGATGAACACTGGGAAGTCACTTTCTACAAACATGCCTAAGTTCTGTAGGAGTGTGAATTGTAGGAATGATATAAAACATTTGAAGTGTGTTACTGCAAAAAAAGAATGTCTTCGGCATTTGAAACAATAGAATATTTATTTCTCCTATGCCTTAAAATCCCCAGATATATTATTTAACCAACAAAACAGAGGGAAAATCTGGTAAAGTTCAAAGAGTAACAAATACATTAAGGAAAACAGTGAGTTATGTAAATTAGACAAATATTTTAAATTATGCATTGTTATTGCTGCTACTCAATTTGAAGAAAGTATACAAATAAAAGTACACTCCCCAGATAATGGATTTTATTTATTGATTTGATTTCTTTTTACCAAAATGGCAATCAAGGTAGCATAAAGGCACAATTGAATTGATTAAACATAAGCCTAAAACATAGCAATTACATAATGATGTATGGTATGGTACGGTATGGAGAACCTAACCAACAAACCCACTTATAATGTGGTCACTGCATACCAGAGAAAAGACAGTGAAAAGGGAGCAAACCTAGCATGCTCTGCCAGGCTGACAAGTGAAAAGCAAAGCCGGGAAAAGATCTTCACTAATGAAATGGGGTGGCAAGTTCATCACCCCCCAGTCACAAGATCATCTAATTCTGAGATGTGGACTGGCCCCTTCTTGGTGCCCACCTTTTCCACCCTTTCCCAATATTCTATGAGCTCAAGAAAAGGGAATAATGCATCCCACCCATCTGTGAGAACACAGAATTTTGACATCTATCAAAAGTAAAGGTTGTTTTAAAACAGCGGTTTTTCACAAGGGTAAATGTGGTGGGGTTGACAGAAAAGATGTAGCCATGGAATCTGTGTATTTCCCTATTTAAAAAAACAATAACAACTCTGTTTAGCTCTGTGAAAATGAGTTCTAAAAGAAACCC